AAATTTTTTTTTTTTTTTTTTTTTTTTAATAAAATTATTATTTTTTTTTTTTTTTTTAGAATTAAAATTCTGATAAAAAATTAAAAGAAGAAACATTAATTTTAAGAATGTTTTACTTTATATAATTTAAGTATAAAATAGTAAATACACTCTATAAATATAATAAAAAATAAGAATGTCATTATTTTAAATACAGAAGTATTTATAATTTATTCTACTTTAAGAGAAAAAAATAATACAAAAAATCTAAATTTTATAAATTTAATTTTGTTTTTTATTTAAGCTCATGTTAAATATATACAATACAAATATGTAATGTATTTTTTTTTTTTTTTTTTTTTTTTAAGGAAATGTAGTTTATTTTTTTTTTTTATTATTTAATAGTATATTTTATATTGTAATTTTTATTACGTAATATATTCCTCTTATTATTTTAATTTATTTTGTTTTTGTAAAGTATGAATTCTCTAGAAAAAAAAATAAAGTTACTAAATTATGAAAATATTGATATTGCAAAGGATGATTTTTATTTTATGATTTTGAAAATAGAAGAAGAAAAAATTCGCTTGTATAAACCAAAGGAGAGAGAAAAAATAAATTATATGAAAGAAAAAAATTATATTGAACATATCATAAAATATTTGAAGAAATTAAATATAAATACAAATGGAATAAATAAAAATAGTATTAATGATATAGAGATTAGAACATATATTTTAAATAATTTAACTACCTTAGCACTTATTGATGACTACAAAGATTTTATATGCTATGATGATGAAGATGAAGATGACATGAATAATAAAAGAATAGATAATAATAATTCAGTAGGTGAACCTTCTAATAGCAATGTTGAAAATATGAGGAATGAAATACAAGATGATATTTTAGAAAACTTTTTTGAATTAAAATACCTAAATGGTATAGATAAGGAAGAATACAAAAAATATGATAAGAAATTAAATATATTATATGAAAAAATTAATGAAATATTTAAAAAAAATGATATTCCTTTACTTAATTCCAGCAATATAAGTAATATTATATCTGCTTTACATTTGATAAACGAAAAATTAAAAAATAATAAAAAAATAGATAATAGTAATTACGAAAGCTTATTTGGATTAAATATTGATGTATCTAATAATGATTTAAAGGATTTTGCTTATATTTTAAAGTATTTATTTAATAATATGCTTAAAAAAAGAAAAAAATGTATTAAAAATGTTCTCAATGAAATACAAATATTAACGCATAATCCAGTAATTGATATAAAACAGGGAAGGGTTGGAAGATAAGCATACTTAAAAAATATAAAAATAAAAACCTAATTTAGTCTAAGAATAAATATTTTATTTTTTCTTTTCTTATTTTTTTTTTTTTTTTTGTAAATCGTTTATTATGAAAAAAAAATTTTTTTTTTTTTTTTTAAAATTCAAAATATATAACGTCTATTCTTGTATCTTAAATTGAAACAATAGTTTCTTTTGATGTTAAAAAAAAAATTTAATTTAAAACAAAATTTAAAAAAATAATTGAAAAAATTATAACACCAAACTTTAGGTTTTATATAAAGAAAAATTTCATAAAAAAGTGAAATCCATATTTAATTTAAAATTTAAAAAAAAAAAAAAAATATTTATATATGTATTTTTAAAAGAATTTAATTTATGAAATAGATAAAATATGTTTTTCTCCTTTTTTTTTTTTTTTTTTTTTCATAAGTTATTTACAGTTCAGGTAATATTTCTAAATTTTCAAGATGATCAGGTAAATATTTTTGTATATCTTTATATTTATTTAAATGTTCTTCAAAAGTTAAAATTTCAGGTTGATTCGTATATATGTATTTATTTGATGTATTTCTTAAATGAAAAGGAACGGTAAAACTGTATTCGTTACATATATTTTTAGCATTGTTTTCAACAACATAAACATAATTACTTTTTGAAGATTTACATAAAACAATAACTGCATAAATTAAAGCTGTTTGGCATTCAGGCATACCAATTGCTTTGCAAGCATAGTGAGTATTAACACACATTGATAAGACATCATGATTAGCTAAGCCAATATCTTCTGAAGCTATTCTTATTAATCTTCTACATATATATAAAGGATCTTCTCCATTTTTTAGCGATTTTGTTAAATATAAAATAGCAGCTTTTACATTTCCTGCTCTTATACTTTTATGCAATCCTGAAATGAAATTATAATGATCTAGTTTATTATCATTACACGGAAAGTTTTGTAAAAAATATTTTATATCATCAAATTGTATACTTCTTTTTTCATTTTGAAGAGATGGATGAACATGAATTTCTTCTGATTTTGTCTCTCCTATGATTTCATCCAGTTTTTTTTCTTCCATATTTTTTTTTATATTTGTTATTTCTATATTTTCCCTTAATTCTATTTTCTTCATATTTTGAATTGCAAAATCAATTATACCAATAGCGACTCTTGCATCTCCACAAGAATGATTCATTATTATATTTAAAGCTTCTTCTTCTATTTTGATATCTAATTTATTTATTATTCTTTCTATAATTAATCTTAATTCTTTCTTGTCATAAGAACGTAAATATAAAAATAAGCATCGTGAATTTAAAGATGCATTTAAAATACTCATTGGGTTGAATAAGCAGGTTGCAATTAAAAAAAGATGTCCCTTTTTTAATATTAGCAATAATTGTTCTTGTTGATTTTTATTTAATCTGTTTATATCTTTTACACATAATATAGTTTTCTTTTTATAATGTTTATAATTAATTAGTGATTGGTCATATATTTTTCTTAATTCATTATTTAAATTATTCAAATGAAATAAATATATAAATAAATGTTTCGTTTTATTTTTTATAACATTTATTAAGGATGATTTCCCACTACCTGGGGGTCCATATATAATTAAATTGAAATTTATATCTTCATCTAATACTTTTTTTAACAAAGGATTTGTTGAACTCCTTATTTCATTTATATAATCTTCTTTACAAATTGGTTGATATATTTTATGTAATGGAATGTTATTTTCATTTATATCTTCTTTATTCATCTCTTCTTTTTTATTTGCACTTATTTCCTCATTTCCTCTTCCCAATTCAGAATTTTCTTCTGCTTCGCATTCCATCATATTTTCATTTTTAATAATATTCTCTATTTTTTTTTCATTCTCTTCATCTTCAATTTTTTCCTTTTTTATTTTAATTGTTTCTTTTTCATTTTCTTGTTTTAATAAATTTACCTTTTTAAAAATTCCAAATTTCTCCAAAGTATTTTGCTCTTTTATCGTACTTTTTTTTATAAAAGTGGATTTTCTCTTCATTTCTTCAATAATTTATTTTAAAAAAATATAACTTTTATCTTTTAAACATTATTATTGAAATGTATAAAAGTTTATTATTAATTCATTTAAAAAAAAAAAAAAAAAAAAAAAAAAAAAAAAAAAAAAAAAAAAAAAAAAAAATTATAATTCTATAGAATTTATTTTTTATCTACATTAAGTATAAGTTTTTTAATAGCTTAAATTTTTATTCTTGTAAAGACTATTAGTAAAAACACACATCCTAGCTACTTAATATATACAATAGTTATGTGTTCTTACAATATCAATTTTTTTTAAATTAAAATTTATATATGAGAAGAAAAAAAAAAAAAAAAAAGATATGTAACGCAAAATTGAATTAATACTGCACGAATATTAAAACATCTTTATGTTTATAAAATTAAAGAGACATAAGTAATTTTTATTGTAATATTTATATAAAGGTATATAATTTTAGTTTCTAATTTCTTTTGTTAAATAAATAACAAATAATTATTTCTACTTTTATTATTCTATTGTCTTAATTATAATTTTTTTTATTTTTATTCCTATTACTTTTAGTATATACTTCATAAAAAAATTATTATTATTTTATTTTATTAAGACTATTGTACTTTTATAATTATCTTTAAGATAACTAATTTCTACTATCTCTAATATTATCATTTTATCCAATTATTGTTCTTATTTAGTATCATTAATAATATTTTATTATTATTTTATTTATATAATTACTGTTATTTTATTATCATTAAATTTTTTTTTTTTTTTGTCTTTTTATATTTTTCATTAATTTAAAATGACCGTTAATTATCATGAAGAAAACTATAATTGTTTATTCGTTGAGTGTATGGAACATGTTCGTGCTTTAGATTGTAGTAAAGCTTTTGATAAGGAAGAACAGTTAAATTCTTTAAATATAATTTATGAATATGTATTAGAATTTTTTAATAATTGTGATGAAAAAAAAAAGAAAATATTCTGTGATTTTTTTAGTAAGAATTTATTATATCCTTTAAACAAATGGGTCAACGATGAATTTGATGAATGCAGAAATTTAGTTCTAAATATTTATATGTTACTTGAACAAAATCTTGATAATATCTTACTAGATATCATATTATTTAAAAACATAGAAAAAGATGATAATTTTATTTTTAATTGTATAAATAGGCTAAGAGAAGATGAAAATCAAAGAATTATAGAAGATAAAGAAGAAATAAGATTGAAAATATTACAATTTTTATATAAAATTGTGAAAAGAGATAAAAAAAAAGATAAAATAATGTCTTCAAATTTATTAAATTTTTATATTTATTTAAAAGATATATTATCGTCATTGTCAATTTTAATAAAAGATCCATTTCCTCTCATAAAAAAGCTAACTTGTGAACTATTATGTGAACTAATTTTTGAAAAAGAACAGAAAGAACTTAATCACGTAATTATCAAAATTAATATTATAAAATATATATATGTATTCATTTTTTAATATAAAAAAAAAATTCTGCACTTTAATTTTACAGATATATAGAAAATTATTAAAAAATTTATTAGATAGTTTAAATATAAGACAGCAAGATATTCGTGAAGTAATAAAATTTACATGCATGCTTTTTTATTTCATATATTCTTTTATATGATAATAATTTCCGAAGTTTTTTTACTTGTTTGCATGTTATTATTTTTTTATTTATAGTATATTTTCATTTTCATAAGTTAGACATACTTTATCAGACATTTTTCCATAATAATTTTTTATTATTTTATTGTGTTATTATTTTTTTGTTTTTATTATACTTCCTGATAATTTTTTAATGAATTTCACTTTTTAGCTTATTTTAAAATGCTTAAAAAAATTAATGTGTTATGATACTAATAGAGAGTTTCTTAATAATGTTTCAGAATGTTTAAAGAAGTTATGTAAAAATAAGTCACATAATGTCTTATTTGAAATTGTAAACTGTATTAAAGTATGGTTTTTAAACATAAAAGATTTTAATAACAATGAAAAAGCAAAGTTAACATATATTATCCTTATGTGCATAAATGCACATATATCTCCTTCTTTTAATGAGCATTGCTACAATGCGTTAGAAGTAATAGCAAAATATACATTTAATTCTTCTAATAAATTAAATAAAATTTTAGATGATAAAGACACATGTATAAACAACAGTGAGAATTTTAAAGAACCAAAAAAAAATGAAATCATAAAAAGTGATAAATATGAAGAATTAGAAGATAGCATTCATATAAGTAGGAAAAAAAATAGTTCAAATAAAAGAATGAATGAAGATAAAATATTCGAAGATTGTGAAGGTTTTATAAATATTAGTAAATTATTTTATATACCTGCTCCATTTAGTAGAATATCAATAAATATTCACAAATTTTTTTGTGAAATTAAAAAAGAATTATTTTATGAAATTATGGATAATGAGAAGAATTCTTGGTCAGAAGGGGAAAAAGAATTTGCAAATATTATTACCATGTTTTTAATATTTACTTATAATGACAATTTTTATTTTATTAAACACATTTTATCATTTTTATATAAATCATTAACATCATTTAAATATATTGATTATCCTTCAACTCCATTATTGATCAACGATTTATTAGAATTACATCAAGATAATGCTGTAGACACACTTGAGAAGTATTGCTACGAATATGAGTCATTTTTATTTTTGAGAAAATTTGTTAATTTAATTATAACATGTGGATATTTAATGCCTTTAGAAATTGTTATTTTTGAAATAGCACATTTATTATTAGGTGATAACATTAAAAATATTTTAATAAATTTTTATAAATTTCATAACCTATCAAACGAAAAAGTGTATTGTAAGAACAACCCAAATAATTGCAAGGAATGTAAAGCTGAAACAGATGCTTATTTTTTTACAGAAGATTATATTTTTTTAAATATAAATTACCATAAATATCATCAAAAAAATTATGAAAAAAAAAGTATCCATGAAAGGAAGGATATTATTATAGAAGATCATTATAACAGGAATAGAGAACTTAATAAAAAAAATATAGCTTATCAAACAGATGATCAAAGTGAAAAAATACATAATGAACCTGAACAGACAGAAAAAAAAAATGAAAATATTAACAAAAAAGAAGAGAAAAAAAACGATGTTAATAATATAACAGAAAATAATAAAAAAAAAATTTTTCTTTTTGAAAGAATAAATAATGATGTGTACAAATTACCAGAGTATTTTTGTGATAATGAAAATTGCACTGCAATAATTTATGAAAATAAAAAAATTATCTTTATAATCCTATCTCAAATTTTAGCTGGTTTTTACTTAAACGATTTATCATTAAGTAAACTAGATGATGCATATATAAACTTCATTTTATTTTTAATAAATGAAAATATCAATTATGAAAATGTTGATTCATTTCCATATATTTTATTAACTTTAAAATATTTAATAAATATAATGAAAAATGAATGCAAAAATTATAGTAATGTTTTATTTCATTTTTTACTTATTTTGCAATCAGATAACCATTTTTGTTCTCTTTCTGAAATAAATAAATTAATTGAAACAGTACAATTTTACAGTGACAAACAAGTGGTTCATTTTTATAATGATGAATATATTTATTTCATAAAAAATCTTCAAAATATAATAGATTTTAATGATTTTAAAAATTTTAAATATAATATAGAATTTTTAAATATATTATTACGTAACATAAGTGACTATATTGTTATGGAATACTCGAGCTATTTAATGGAATTTTTACATGTTATAATTACATATGAATTAAAACCATTTATCAAATCAGAATTTTTATTATTTATAAATTTTTTTTGTTCAAAAAATATATTTCCTAACTTTTTTTTAGCAAACTCTCAAGATATTTTACAAAATATATTATTACCATTATGCATATGGAAAAGCGGATTAGGTGAAGCAGAAATAAGAAAAGGATCTTTACTTTGCATAAAATCATTGTTTATAAATAAATTATTCGATATTAAAATATTTCAAAATAATATATTAATTGAAAATTTAGTTTGTACTCTTAAATCGTCAATTGATGACATATGGAATAATGAAAATAGAGTAATTTCTATTTCTATAATTGGAGAACTTGTAAAACATTTGAATAGCAATAATATACTACTTGATTTATTAGATAATTTACTAAAATTATTAGATGACTCAAATATATCAATTCGAAAATATTCAGCAATATCTTTATATTCTCTTTTTCAAAATAAATATTTGAGTTTATCTGATGAAAAATGTGAACATATTTTTCCAATATTATTATTGCATATGGATGATGATTATTCGAAAATTAGTGAAATTATTTATCATATATTGATGATAGCAAAAAATTTTAATAATAAAATATTCTTGAAGGTATAAAAAGTATTTTCTTTTATTTATGAAACACATTTTAAAATATACATACACATTTTTTATAAAGATGATATAAAACTATGTTTTTATCTTTTATAATTAAAATATTTTCTTATATTCAATGTATATTGCTGATTTATAAAACTAATTTTTATAAAATAAAAAACACACACAAAATATCTCATATTTAAAAAATTTTTTTTTTCTACAGCATGCAAAAGATTCAACTGAGAATTCATTACATGCAAAATCATTTAAAGAAGATTTGATGAAATAAGACATTATTTACATCTATTTTTTTAATCACAAGAACTTTTATATTATAAATTTTTTAAAAATATTTTAATAAATATAGAATAAATTAATTTTAAAAAAAGAATAATGTGATTCATCTATTCATTTATATATATTTTTTGCACTATTTAATAGATTTGTTCTGTTGTATTGAAATATCAAAGAATAATTAATTTAGCATTATTATTTTTATTAAAATATATATACAAATAAATAATACAACATCAACTTCTAGTATTATTTAATCTTCATATATTTATTTTTATATTTCTAACAATTTTAAGCTTACAGATTTCATTTTTAAATTATCTATTTTACCTTGATTTTTTTTTCTTATTTAAAAAAATATTAAGATTTAAAATATTTAAAGAAATTTATATAAATAAAACATAAAAAATAGATAATTATTTTAAAAATCATATAAAAAAATTTCATCGAGGATATAATATTAATATAGTCATTTTTATAATTTTAAGTTATAAAAATTGAAAATAATCATTAAAAAATAGAAATTTAGATAAGAATATACAACAGTTAATAAATAACATAGAATTCTAAGAATATAAAAATAAATGAATTCTTCATTATCAAATGGATATATAATAAAACACAAAAAAAAAATTTAAAAAAAAAAATAAAATAAAATAATGGGAATATACAGTATGCACCTTTCTGTAAAAGAATTATTTAAATACTACTATTAAATTATTAAATGAACTTTTAATTGTGTATATATGATATATAATCTATAAAAAAAAAAAAATGTTTTTAATAAATAAGCATGCATATTACAAGTTTAATACATTATTCTAATTTTTTTTTTAATATTAATAATGTGCAAGTATAAAATAACATATCACATATAAAATAATTCCGTAGCTTACCACTATTAAAGAAAATTCTTAGAAATAAATTAAAAAAAAAAAAATAAATAAATAAATAAAATAACATATGATATTTTGACAAGAATCAGCACATATCACAACAAACCCAATTCTTTCAAAAATCCTTCAAATTGTTTTAACTCTGAAAAGGCAAAATATATATTAAAAGAAGTAAATAAAATAAATAAATGAAAAAAAAAAAAGAAAATAATAAAAAATCTTTTATTGTGGAAAATAGTTTAATTGATATTGGAAATAAAAACAAGAAAAAAATAAAAATAATAAAATATAAAAAAATAAATAAAGTTATGGAGTAAAATTGATAATATATCTTGCTTCTACATAATAGTAGTATTAATTTTAATTATTTATAAGAAAAATTAGAAATATATTGAAATTTAATGAAAATAATACACCTAAATGAAAAGAATATTTTTAATTAAAAAAAAAAAAAAAAAAATATACTCTAAAATTAAATAAAATTTTAATCAAATAATAAAATTTATTGAAAAAAAAGATATCCTAACAAGCAGTAAATTTGATAATAATGAAGACACAAACATTCAAAAAAAAAAATTTAAAGAAAATATGTATTAAAAAAAGTATCAACTCATAACATACATGGACTTTCGTATGATTCAATTAATCATTTAAAATATTTTTTAAGTTAGAATCAGTCAAACTAGATAAAATTTATTTGATTATGAGAGATGATAACTATGAAAGTATTATAAAAGAAATACTACACCATAAGTGAATTATAAAGTTTTCATTTTTAACAAAAAATGAAAAATCGAAATATGTAAATCACTTCAAAAATATTTAAATTATATTTCTAATAAAATTCCCATAAATATTATAAATAATGTAAATAAATATAACCACATTTTTTCATATCTGTATGTGTAAAAAATCACAAAAAATGAATAAAGAATATTACAAAAATATCTTAAATAAAGAACTTTAATTTTCAAATAAATATCTCTGTAGCAAAAGTATAATTAATATACAAAAAAAATAAAAATACTAAAAATGATAAGTTTAAAACTATATAGAAGGAAGTACATTTTATACTGGTAAAAATTAGGAAAAAACGAAACTAAGAAGCTAAAAAAGACAAGTTAAAGAAACAAATAATTATATAATGAAAGAAGATATTTATTCAAGAATTCAAGAAACTTAATAATATTAAAAAAAAAAACATTAAATTTAATTATATATAAAAAGTTGTATTATTAAAAATAGATGTATACTAAGCAAAGAAATATATATAATTTTAAAAAATTTAATATGTTAGAACTTGAAATTATATTTGAATTAAACAAACCCATTGAAAATATAAAGGAAAAATTAATAATAAATATAAAAGTTCAAAAGAAAATATTAAAGAAAAAAAAATAAAAGATAATTTTAATATAAATTATATATAAAGAATATATTTTCAAAAGATTTTTTTTTTTAAAAAGTAGAAAATACTTATAGTGAAGTTTCGATAAAAAAAATTTAAATGAAAAATATATAAAATTATAGAGAAAAATGTAAAAAAAAAATAAAAAATATTGAAAATAAAAAATTATGTATAAATAAAAAATTATGTAAAAATAAAAAATTATGTGAAAATAAAAAATTATATGAAAATAAAAAATTATGTGAAAATAAGAATATATCAAGGATAAAATTAATCTAAAAAAATATTAAAAGTATAAATAATATTTTTTTTATAAAAACGTATGTAATATTAACTACGAAAAATAGTGTAATATATATATATATATATATATATATATATATATAATACATAATGATGAAAGCATAAATATATAAAAGAATTTTGTATTTAAAAAAAAAAGTGAGGAAACAAACGTATTAGTAGAAAGGATACAAACAAAAATAAAAATAAAATTGATAAAAATTAACATTTTATAAAAATATTGAGACATTTTAAAAAATATGAAGTAAAAAAATTAAGGGATAAAAATTTTTGAAAATTCAATAAAAAACGTATGCAAATGAAAGAAACTTGCAAAAGTAGTTTTAAAAATTCTATTAAGATAAAAATAATCTATATTTTATGGAAATTTTGAATCTATATATACTAAGACGAATATATATACAACTTCAAAATTTTGTAAAATAAAACATTAAATAGAAAGAATAAATTGATAGCATTAAAATTATACATTTCAATTATGAAAAAGAGGAAAAAATTGAATTAGTTAAAACATTTATTATATCATAATTCATATATGAAATGACGTTGTCATATAAAAAATTGAATAAAGAAAATGAAAACTTTTTAAAAAAAGTAGATAAGAAAAATATAATAAATAATTATAAATATAATAAAAGAAAAAAAAAAAAAGAGAATGATACTACAACTATAATTTATCCTAATTATGTAAAATTGTTTTTTATACCTGATGAAAGGATATTAAATTTTGTAGATCATTTTATTGAAATATTATTTAATGAGAATACATATATAAATACAATAGAAAAAATGATATCAAAGAAAAAATGCATTATTAAAAACTTAATAGAATCACAAAAAAAATTCTTCAAATCCAAAATGCTCACAAACCCAATATTTAATTATAACATGGCTGATGATGAAGTAGATAATATTTTTAATAAATGTAGTGGAGATAAAATTGATTTTAATTTATTTTACGAAGCACGAAGAATAATTCAGATAGCCAAAGAAAAATTTAAAACATATGATAATTATGAAAAGTCTGTTTTTTATAATGAGTTGGTAACAAAATATGAATTTAAAAATTACATAATAAAATATCTGCAGAACAGTGGAATAAAAGTGAAAGTTAAAATAGAATTTAAGGAACATATATTATCAGCAGTTCAAGTTTTTAAAAAAGGAAGTACTTATTTCATACAATTACAAAATCAGGACATTCAAAAAAAATTAATGAAATCTTTATGCGATCATGAAATAGGGACACATTTATTAAGAATGATTAATCACCAGAATAATAATTTAGAAAAATATAAAATTAATTCATGCTATTCAACTGAAGAAGGTTTAGCTGTTATTAATTCAATGTACACTTTAAGAAAAAATTATTTATTACTGGTTACACCAGCTTTAAAATATTTAGCTGTTTGTTTAGGTCACTTTTATAGCTTTTCTAAATTATATATTTTTTTAAACGATTTTGTAAAAGATTCTGATAAATGCTTCAAAATGTGTGCACGAGTTAAAAGAGGATTAAGAGATACTTCATTACCAGGTAGCGTATATCACGATCAGCTATATTTTATCGGTTCATACAGTATATTAAAATGGCATAAAAGTATTGATTTTCCCTTATTATATTCAGGTAATATTGGATTAAAACATTTAAATGATATTACTAATCATGTTGATACACAAAAAAATTTGCTTCCATCATTTATGATTAATAAAAAAAAGTTAAATATTTATTTAAAATTTTTAGAAAAAGTATCTTGTATAAATGGTATTACACCTGAGAAATGCAATTTTATCCAAGAAAAAAAAAAAAAAAACATTTTAGTAAATACATAATATTTAATATATGTACATAAATTCTCACACACAAATATATTTTATTTTTTCGTGTTTTACTACATATATATATATATATATATATATATATATATATTCTTATAAAAAATTATATGTTTATTGATCCATATATGAAAATGAAAATTTTAAATCTCAAAATTTTTTTTGATTTATATTTTTTAATAATAAAAAATTTTTAATTAGAAAAAAAAATTTATTATGTTAATAAACTTTAAAAAAATTATTTTACAAATAATTTGACACTTTTTACTTTTAATATAGAAAAGTAATAGGATGTTTTTTTTTTTTTTTTAATTAATATATTTTTACTTTATTTTATATGGTTTTAGTTTATGAAAATATATATATATATATTTGTAATTTAATTTAAAAAAAAAAAAAAAGGTTTTATTTTTGTTCTAGTATTACATAAATGAATATATAAGATGTAATGAAAATTTTGTACTTTAAAAGAAATGTTAACTTTATTTTTTTCTTTTTTTTTTTTTTGGAATACTTTATTTTAATATATTAGTTATTTTTTCCTTTAACATTACCATTGTATGTAAAAAATTCAATATTTTCATCTAAAAAAAAAAGAGATTATCATATTTTAAAAAAGTTATTGTATTATTATGAATGCATATATATATCCAACCTAAATTATTTTTCATATATTCCATAGGATTATCATCTTTTAATGATATTTCTTTTTTTGCCTTATTAATTATATATAATGTATCCTTTATATACTTGTAGATTATGTCTAATTTTTTAAGAATTTCCTAAAATATATAATTTATTAATAATTTTTTTTTTTTTTTTTTCCCTTATAAAGATGTACATGATATTTACTAAATTTCTTTTTAGAAAATTAAAAAAATATTAATTATTAAAATTTATTTCTGAATGTTACCTCTTCTAAATTATTAAAATCTGCTATATCGAGGAACTGCATATCGTCCATTATATCCTGAGTTTTATTTTTTTTTTCTAAATTTCTGTCATGAAAGAAATAATAAATAAATTTTTATAATTTAATATATATATATATATATATATGATAAATTTTCATAGTTTTCGATTACATTTTTTCTTCATTTTTTTTAATGTTATAATGACGTAACTCTGGAAGAAATGAAGAAAAACGGCTTAAAAAATTATCAATGCATAAAATTATTTTATTTAATAATAATGCTCTCTTGTTATGTTCATTTATATTATCTCTTAAACGTTCTTCAATTTTTTTTTCTTTTTCTAAAACAACTTCAGATGCTTGTACTAGATTTTTATATTCTAATTCTTTATTCTACAAATGTAAATAATGAATAAGAATATTCTATACATTATATTAAAAAACAATATTTAATGAAATTAATAAAAATGTAGTTAAATATTCAATAAATGTTTAAATTCTTGAATTTAAAAATAAATTTCTTCTTTTTTTTTTTTTTTTTTTTTTTCTTATAATTAAATCTAATATAATTTATAAAAAAGAAAAAAGAAATATATATATATATATACCATTAATGCTAAATTATTTTTTTCTTCAATATCTTTTATTTTATCCTTTATAATATTTATTTTTGCTTTCAACTTTTCCTTTTTTTTTTGTATGAATTCTCTTGAGTTAAATATTGTTTCCAATCTGTCAAACATATCTAATTGAACAAATTCAGTTGAATTATCTTTAAACTTACTTAAAAAACTGAGACTTTTCTCCCCTAAAATTAATTTTTTTTTTTATTAAGATTGTGATATTTCATTTATATTGTTTTTTTTGTTTTTTTTTTTTTTTTATCCATATTATAGTTGTAACAACATTTGAAAACATTAAGAATATATTAATATCTTATAACTAATTTAAAGAATAATTTATTTTATTACTTTCTTGTGTATCACAGCTTGCTTTTTTTATGCGCTCACGCATCTGTCCAATAGTTACTATATACTTTTTAATTTCTATATCAAATAACTTTATTTTTTTTTCTTTATTTTTAATTTTTTCCTCTAAAATTATTTGTCTATCATAATTATCCTAAATTAATATTTATATCATGTTTTTTTCTTTTTTTTTTTTTTTTTTTTTTTTCATTTTATATTTAATTATTTTTAGTATCACAGTGTGTTTGTCATACTTTCATGGCTTGTTGATATTCTTTTATTATTTTTTCTCTATTTTCATTGTATATTTTTTCTTTTAAACTTCATATAATAATTAATCCCATATATTAATATATATACAAAATATATATTTTTATAAATTAATTTAATCTATTTTCAAATATTTTTAAGTATAATTGATTTTATTTTAATATTTTAAAAAAATTTTTTACATTAGAACTATAATTTATATTTTTAAAAAAAAACTATCTTAAAATATATCTTTATATACTTTATATTCTAATATATAATTTTCAATAATAACAGATTGTATATTATTTCTAATAACTTAAATAATATATATATATAAAATTAACATTATCATTATTTCTATTTTTTTTAATTATTTTAGTTAAACCTAAAGGATTTTTCTTTTTCTTCAAGAGTTTTTTTTATATCAGCATTCTTCTTACTTAAATCTTTGTTTTTACATCTTAAATCCTAAATATTCATTTTAAAAAATAAATAATTAACATGTTATACATATTTTTTTTTAAAAAAATTTGTATACTCTCAAATTTAATTGTTTTTTTATTAATAAAGGAATTTCGAGGTTATCATTTATTGATGTAGAAATTTGAATATTTTCATTATTTCTCTCAAAATTTTTCATTTTATAAAATTTATAGAATATTCTAAATTTATAATACAAAAAAATTAATAAAAATTAATGAAAAAAAAAAATAGAATAATATAAACAATTTAATTTTTTATTTTAATTATATTTTATACATTTTTAATAAATAATATATAATATATAATTTTATATTAAAATTGTTATTAAAGAATTGTAAATGAGAAAAATGGAAATTTTAATTGCACATTTTTTTTTTTTTTTTTTTTTTTTTTAATTAATATTTTGTAATTTAGAAATTTTTTTATGTAAAATTATAAATTCTTTTTATTAAATTGATTATTGAAATTTATTATTTAAATATATAAAATTTTTATTATTTATCAATGTTATAATAATTTTTATCTTTTTTTTGTTTTCCTTTTTTTTTTTAATTAAACTCTCCAATTTATATTCTTAATAATAGGATAACAATATATGTATTTCTTATAACATTTTCTCTTTATTACAGTAAAACAATTTTAAATTTAATAAAAATAAAAAAAAAAAAAAAAAAGAGAGAACTTTTCTAATTAAAAATGTTTATTAACTTTTCTAATTAAAAATGTTTATTAACTTTTCTAATTAAAAATATTTAACTTTTCTAATTAAAAATGTTTATTAACTTTTCTAATGTATTTTATGAAATTTAAATTATTAAAAGGAAATATTTTTTATTTCAAAGAATTAATATATTCAAGTTACCTACTCTTTTTATTTTTATATGCATTGGAGTGCATAGTCATAAATTCATCACTAAAAATAAAAAAGGAGTATTTATGAAGGATAGTTCACATTCTTGTTTCATTAATAATTTAAGCAATTATTAGGTAGTTAAATAATTATAATTAAATTAAAAAATAATTATATATATTACCTTTAATTACTTTTATTAATTATAAAGTACTATCATTAGCTAATATAATTATAATAATAATTATATTAACAAAAATAGTTAATATTAATTAAATTAATATATATAAATAATTTTGAAAATTATTTTTCAAATATTTCATTTAATTAAAATACTTATAGACTTCTATCTATGAATTATATAAAAAGGAATTTATTTATTTTATAACTTGTATTATGTGCAATTATCAATTAAATTTAAAAAATTATTGTTCACTTATCAAATATTTACTGAAGTAATGTAGATAAATATAGACGTTATTTCTTATTAATATTTTTTTTAATTATTTTAAACTTCTATAAAAACACATTATGATAACTATTAAAAATATTCATCGGTTGCATATTACATGGTTAATTTTCTTTGAATTTGTGTTAAATACCTTATGAAAACTTGGTATAAAACAAAGATTACTTAATTTTAATTTTTCTTAAAATTTTCCTAAATTTACCTTTTAAATAGTACACAATCGAATAACAGCTAGTATTTAAAAATGTTTTTCAACATATATAGGATACAATTTTTTAAGCTAATCATTTTTATTTTCATTATACAGAAAAGTACTAAATATTATTCTTATTTATATAATTATTATAGTATATAATTTTTTAATTATATATATATATATATACTTATTATTTATGTATATATAGGATTGAATTGTGATTTTTCTTTGAAGAAACCATTTTTTAATAAGGTAACCTAAAAAAAAAAAAAAAGAAAAAATAATAGAATTATTGGATGTGTAAATTAACACTAATTAACTAAAAATAATTTTTTATTATTTAAATCATTTTAAACTTTTTTCTTTTTTCATTTAATCCAGTTTTTTAAAGAATCAAAAGGTAAATGAAATATATTTATATATATATATTTATATATATATATATATATTTATATATATATATATATATTTATTTATTTATTAAATTAGTGCCTTTGGGAAATGTGATCATTCAAAAATATTCATATAGTGGATTTTTATATTTACATAAAGAGTTGTCAAAAAATCATATTAATATAATACAGGAAATAAAAATATATAATAATTTAACAGATATTTTACATAAAAATAAAACTGTTCGAAAATATGACGATAATACTTACGAAAAGTTTTACAACATATGTACTCCTTTTGTAGAAAAATTATTTACAGAAACTATTTTAGATATTGACAAATCGTTAAAATTATTAAATGAGTTATTAATAAAAGAAGTAAAATATTTGCTATTTAGTAATAATAATATTATTTCAGAATCTAGGAGAGAAAATGAAGAAACTTTTAAAAAAAATTTAATAGATAAGTTGTATGAGGAATTTTTACAAAAAGAAAAATTAGAAGAAGATGAGAAAACTTTACTCTATTTCAATAAAATTAATATGGCTAATAAACTTAGAAGAGTTTTATATTTAAACTCAATTGATGAACCAGAAGCTCATGATATTATTCTTAGTTTAATACAAATTGATACATCTAAAATAAATATAGATCATAAATCTATTTTTAAAAATTTTGATAAAATTTTAAATTCACAAAAACCATATTTGCTACTGAAAAGGTTTTTTAGTGGTGATGAAGAAGTTCTTAATGAATCATTTTTGAGAACATATTGGATTTGCCTAAAAAATTTACATTTCTACCTTAAATCTTATAATTCACATGTATTACTTATTTTAGGAGATGAATTTAAAGATGCTATTCTCAAATATTTAGATGATGTCATTTGTAAAAAAAAAAAAAGAGCTATTAATTATGATAAAGAAAGTTATTTTCTTAATAAATATAATTTTTTTGATAGTTTTTTAGCTCTAACTATTTCAAAAGTATATAATTCAAAAGTAAATATTTTAAATGAAAACGGAATTTTAATATCTATTCGAATAAATACACTACCTGATAAATTAATTCAATTGGTATCTACAAAATATTATTCAAAAACTTTAATTCATCATAGATTATTTGATGGTATTACATACTTTTCAGTTGATGATCATTTTCCTATTTTAAATGTAATAGAGAATTTTGAAATATCACCATTATATATCAGTAACAGCTTTAGATTTCCATATGAAAACAGTTTTACACTTATAGATGAAAGTAAAACACAAAAAAAAAATTATAATATACATTCATATATATAAATATATATATATATATATATATGTAGCTTCTTTTTCATACATTTTTGTAGGATAAAATATAATTATTATTTTTTTATATGTATGAAAACATATTATATAAATATATATTTATATTTTACTTTCTCCTATATATATTCGTATTGTTGATGTTTTACAAAATTTTTTATATTAATATAATTTTTTTTTTTTTTTATTTAATGTTAGCTATAAAAGTTATATCTATTAGTTCTCAAGAGAATGAGCAAATTTCCAAGTGTATAAAAGTAGAAAAATTCGAAAATTCTCAAGAAAATATGCAAGAAACTCATTATAACTCATTACTTGAAATTGCTAATAAATATAGTCAACGGAATAATATAAAAGAGCATAACATTTATATTTTATTACTTAATATTGTTAGAGGTAACTTAACAAATTTAAGTTTGTTATTTTCTCTAGAAATTCTCAACTATCTTAATGAACATTGTGATGACTTTGATTCGGAAGATAAAGAAGAAACAGAAGAATCAGAAGAAACAGAAGAAACAGAAAAAACAGAAGAAACAGAAAAAACAGAAAAAACAGAAGAAACAGAAGAAGAAGAAGAAGAAGAATCAGAAGACAATGAAGAAACAGAAGAAGGTAATGAATTAGATCTTCATCTTCTTTTTCCTACTGAATCCATAGAAGAAAATATTTCTAACCAAACAATGGAAAATGCTACTTCTAATGAGTTAACTGAAAACAAAAAATTGAAAAAATTATATGATGAAATATCAAATGATATAACAGATGCTAAAAATGTTGGAACAAATTTAAATTCAGACGAAAAACAGGTTACATCTGAAAATAATGAGTCACAATCTTTTTTATCGAAATTTAAAAAATATGCGTCATCAGCTTTTACACCACTAAAATATTTTTATTCTACATATAATTCATCATCCCACCCTACACATAATACTTCATCTCATCCAAGTATATCATCTCAATCTCATCCAAGTACATCATCTCAATCTCATCCAAGTACATCATCTCAATCTCATCCAAGTACATCGTCTGGATCTCATTCAAGTACATCGTCTGAATGGGAATCGGAATCTGAATCGGAACCTGAATCTGAATCTAATATATCATCTCATTCTCATCCAAGTACATCTTCTGAATTTCATCCAAGTACATCCTTTGAATCTCATCCAAGTACATCGTCTGAATCTCAACCTAGTACATCGTCTGAATCTGAATCGGAACCTGAACCTGAACCTGAACCTGAACCTGAATCTGAATCTAATATATCATCTCAATCTCAACCTAGTATTCCATATAAAAATAATGATTCTTCAAATGTACATCTAGAGCGTTTAAGAGGTGAAAATAATAAAATACCAAATGACTTTTTTATTGACACAGTCAATTCAGATGAAAATAATGAGAAAGAGAAAAAAGAAGAAAATGAAGAAGAAAATGAAGAAAAAAATGAAGAAGAAAATATAAAGGATAAAGTGAATAATATAAATTATTTTAAACATATTTGTAAAAAAAAAAAAATTATGGAAGAAGAAAAATTAAAAAGTATTAGAGAATTAAAAAAAGACTTATTAAAAACTAAGTATTCTATTTTTAATAAAAAATCTTTATTTCTAAATGAAGAAAATTTAAAAAATATTTTTGAATCTACTTTTTTTGATTCAAATAAAATGAAAAACTCTATAATAAACATAATTTCTTCTTTTGAAATAGGAAATTTAAATAAATTATTGGTTATTAAATTAAGTGATTTAAATTTCCACTTTTTTAAATCTAAGAATATTTTTTCTAATAAAAAAAAAATATTATCATTTTTTAAGTTTAATACTGACCAAAAAGTCTTAAAAAAAATTTCTATGAAGTTATATGCTGTATTTTCAATTGTATGGTTACATTATACAAATTATTTAAGAAAGATATTAGATATATTTTCAACAAATGAATTGAATATTCTCACAAATATGTATTATTCATTTTTCAAAAAAAATAAGGATGATTATAATTTAAACCTTTTAAATTACTTCGGATTTACAGATGCATTTATGATGTATATAATTTTAATATCTTCAAAGCGTAATGTATATTTTATAAATGATAATAAGTCAATAGATATTCAGAATAAATCATTATTAAATGAGGATGGAATACATATTATTAATACATACAATGGATATTTTTATGAAGTTAAAAATAAATGTGTATCTAAAATTATGGATAAAAATTTAGTTAATAAAAATATGATAAATGCAGGATTTGGATTAAATTTTTATTATGTTAAAAGAGTTGGTAAGGAATTTATATATATAATTTAGTATTTATTTATATTTTCATATTTTTATATTTATTGTACTATATATATATATATATATTTTTAATTTTATAGATAAATCTATTTTTGATTATAAAAATGAAACACAAACTGAAGTAGAAAAAAAAATGTTTTTAGTTAGTAGGGGAATAAATAAATTACTAAAATCTGTGGAACATGAAATTTTATCTTATAATTCTAATCAAAGAATGGATACAGAGAAATTTTCATTTCTAACTATTTATAGAAACGAAAATGCTAATAATATTAATGACATTCCTGCTTTAATTACAGCTATTATATGTGGACAGCATAAAAAAATAAGCGATATAAAACAATGTATCAGCAGTGATAAAGCTTTTTCATCTTTTAATGATAAACTTAATTTTATTATACAAAACTTTTATAATTACAACACAAGTTTTAATGATATTTCTTTTTTATCTAGCAAGCAACCTAATCAAAATGTTTTCAGTAATTTTTACAATAATGAAAAAATACGTAAGTATAGAAATACAAATTTAAATAGAAAATAATCATTTCTCTGATAAATTAGTATATGAGCTTTAAATTAATAATCTTTGTCCATTTTATATATAAATATTTTTTTTACAAAAATTTCTTTGAAAAATATATTTATCTACCCATACATATATTCATATTTTTTTTTTCTTTTTTTTTGCAACAGTTTTAGGAACTTTACTATTGTATCTTGAGAATATGAAAAAAAACATTACAAATTTATCTAAGGAAAAAACAATTAGATATAACTTTTCATTTATTTATAATTTATTAAAGAAGCATATCTTAAAAAATAGTTTAATTAATCAAGAAATTAAAAATTATTTTAGTGCCTTAGAAGAAATAATTTTTAAATATAAATTATATAACGAAAAAATATTTACAACTCTTATATCGTTATATAACAGGGAGAAAGGTAAAAATGAAAAAAATTTTAAGTTAGATGAAAGCATTTTATAATAATGTTACATATGTATATCAATAATTATAATACTTTATTTTTATTTATTTTTTCTTGTTTCTATAATATATTATTAATAACTTATTAATTTTAATTTATTAACTTTTTTTTTTTTTTTTTTTTTTTTTTTTTCATTAAGACAATGCACAATATATGGAGATAATGGATATTATCTCGTTAATTTTTTATCGCATGAATATCCAAGACTTTATGGAAAATCATAGCAAAGGTATGCCAACACTTAGTAGAGAAATATTAACTCTTGATTTAATGGATGTGATAAATATAATGGTATTTTTCAATAATGTATTAAGTAAAATTAAAGTAACAGACGAATTTAATGTATTAGTTGATAAAGAGGATATTATAAATCTTCATATATATAAAATGATTGAAATCGTCGAGATTCTTTTTAATAATTATGAAAATTACTATTATGATATTATAGATGATAATATAAGAGACATAATAAAAAATACATTATTAAATAAAATGGAACTTTTACTTATTCACTATAAGAAATTCATTGATGATGATACGAAAATATTATCATCTCAACTTACTAAAAATTTTAAAAAGAAGAAATCTTTTATAATATATGAAGAACCCAGTACATATAATTTTCCAATTGAAATATCATTTATCAAAGTTAAAAATTTTGAAAATATATTTCTTTTAGACTTAATTGAATATTCATATTCAAATGATACTAGTTCTAACTTGAATCCTTCTAATCAAAAATATGATGGAATAAATAAAGAAATGTTACAATTAATTCAAAATGGGAAAAAAATTATTTTATATTATCATGTATTTGATTTACCTAAATCAATTAATGAAAAATTGTTCGAACATATTTTTAATTCTGTAAGAAATATGACATCTAATAGTTATTTTGTTAAAAAAAACAAGCACTGGGGACGAAATGGTTATATTTTTATATATTAGCATAAACTTATATAAGTATATCCATGTATACATATAATATCCTATTTTTAATGATATATATTTTAATTATTGATATTGTAAATAGTTTAGTTTTTATTGTCTTTTTTTTTTTTTTTTTATTTGTTATTTTTTATAATATTATTTGAAATATATATAAATTCTATTTAACTAGATTAATAGTAAAAGGTTATTACATAGTTATGTCTATCATAAATATTGTTTTGAATTTTTTCTTTTTTTTTTTTTTTTTATTTTATTAACAAATTTGTTTCATTATATATTTTTGCTTTTTATAGTTACAAATAAAACATATGATAAGGTGAGTGAAGGTTATTTCCAAAGGTTAATTAGATACTTTTTTGAGAATAATCTTGTAAGTGATTTAATTGAGTATATATTGAAATATGATGAAGTTAATATAGAATTTACAATGGATTCAAAAGAAGGAAAAGATAGAAATTTATATAAATGCATAAAAAAGCAATGGTTCTATAAATTTAATTTAAATAAGATGAAATCATACATCCAAAATATTAAAATGAGTTTTAATTTAAATGCTAATGATTTAAAACAATGTATAAGAATTAATAAACCCAAATCTCATTTAAGTATATTAACGGATATTATGTTAAACATATTAGCTTATGAATTAAATCATATTTTCAAGATGAAATATCAATTTAAATCAATTTTTTCTCTTATGGAAGTAAAAAGAAATGATATAACTTATGAATTGTATTCAAAAATAAATAACAAATTAAATATTAAACAGAAAATTGCTCTTTTCTATTATTCAAGATATGCATTATTACACTTAACTGAAATGTTAAGTGAGCATTTTAAAGTAAAAATTTTATATTTTTCATATAGTAAAAATGATGGATATGATTTACACTGTTATAGACCACATAATCACAAAAATGATAGCAAAGTCGTCATATTACAAGATGGACATAATTTTAAAGTATATAATTCAAATAATAGCCTCTTTAAATTAGATAATGATGATTTAAGAGAAGCATGTAAGAAAGGAAAAGAAAAATAACTGTTATTAATATAATACAATTTATGTATAAAAAATATATAATAGGAAGTTATTACACATAGACATATGTATTAAATATATTTTTATTATATTTTTTTAATCTTTTTTTTTTTTTTTTTTTTTTTATTATTTCAGCTGTTATTCATCTATTTTATGATGAATTGCTTAAAAAAAAGTTGTTGTTGGAATTAATTTTAAATGAATATATGCTTTACAAGAATGCTTCAGAAGAAGAAATACATAGTACTATAAAAAATAATTTAAAAGAAAAAAGTTATGAGAATTTACAAGAAATGATAAGAATTTTATTAGGACGTCATGATATTGGTAATGTGAAGAAATCTCAAATAAGAAACCTAATTGATTTAGATATTTTACAAAATAGAAATGAAAGAGTCAAAAGTAACTACATAAATTTATTATATTTAGAAATATTTTCTCTTTTCGGTTATGGTTATTATCATAATTTGGATAATTTTTTAAAAGATTTGTTTATAGCTGATAAATACCTATTAGAATTGTTTAGAAATTCTCTTTCTAAACTGAAAAAAAAGTTTAAATATATGATTATGAAAATAGAAAAGATAATAGATTATAAATATATAGAAATAAAAAAATTGAAAAAAAGTACATTGTCATTATTTAAAAAAAAAGGAAGTGAGATGAGAATATTTGATTTTAAAGATATGTTTCCATATTTTTCTAAAAAAAAAAAATCAAACTATGATAGATTTTATGGTCAAAAAATGGATATATTTAAAATTGATGAAAATGTGAAAGATAAAATATTAAAAGAAATGGAACCATATAAATTTTCAATATCATCTCAAGAAAAACAACAGTTTTATTTTATATCTTTAATTGGGTTGGGATATTCCTATATTCAAAAATTTGGTGACTTAAAATTAGGTTTATACCCATCTGTATCAATGAGTAATATGATTATTTTGCGCAAATTATACTATTTATTTTATATAAATGAATTAATGGATTTAACGAGATTTATAATTAACACTATCATGAAGGTGTATAATAAATTTTTTTGCAATAAAAAAGAATTCATAAAAAATGGAGAAATTATATTGAGTAAAGAGAAAAGGAACGAATTTGCTAGTATTATTTTATCAAAGGAAAATGTCAATCTTGATTATTCAGATTATGAAGAAAAAAAAAAAAATTCTAATAATATATTTAAAAAAAAGGAAAACAGAAAGGAAAATGGCAATAATATCCATGGGTTTGATTTTTATTTAAATTATATAATTAGTAATGTACATAGTTTCTTTTATACTGTTTTTAATTGTGAAGATAATAAAAATTGTTTTCTTAAAAATAGTGAATTTGCTGCAGAAATTGTTACAAATTATCTTAGAAATAATCCATTTAATGAAAATATGATATGGATATTACCAATTTTATCTAACCATTTTAGAAGTCCGTTAAATGTATTAAATATAAATGGAAATAATATATATTTATATAAATACCAGGATGATAGTGCAGTGAAATTTAATATACAAATCTTAGTTGAAGAAGGAAACACATATTTAATTTTACCCACTTATTTCATGCATATAAACATATTAAATATAATTACAAACACAATGATAAATAATGAAAAAAAAGTTTTCAAAATTGATAATCCATTTTCATCATCTAACTATAAAATATCAAATTGTTCGCTAAATTTAGATGAATCTATAAAAAATTCTAGGAAATCTGATTATTATTACAAAAAATATTTTGAAATAATTAAAGAAAAAATTAATTTATTTTTATCAAAAAAAATTCCTTTATATACCATGTTAATATCATTAAGAGAAGATATATTAAATTTTAAGCATTTAATATATTATGATAATTTTACACAGTTTCTAAAAATAATGGATTATTTTTTTTTAGCACTCAAAACAAAAATACAATTAAATATTGAATTTTCTTTAGACACTATTTTTAATTCTCCGAGTACATTAGTTAGGGATTCTATAAAAAATATTTATGCTTATATTGAAAAAGACGAATATAGCTTTTTTGGTATTGATATTAAAAAATCTTATTCTAATATATTAAAAGGTTATGAAGAAAATAAATATTACTCTAGCAATTTTTTGAAGTTGATGGATTTTTTGATGAATAACATAAAAGGTGAAATTAATGCACACAATAACCTATTAAAAAAGATGAAAAATGTAAATGAAGAAACAAAAAAAAGAAATATATATATAAAAAAATTAAAAAATTTAGAGTCTTTTATAATATGTGAATATGGAAAAGTTATAAATAATATGATGAAATATGTTGAAATAAATTTAGATAATATAATTAATCATTTAATATTTAAAAGCGAAATACAAAACAGTGTTCATGATATTATAAATAAAGCGCAAATATTAGATGACTGTTGTTTAAAATATGATTATAATGAAATAGGTGCAACCGTAATGACAAAAAAGTATTTTCAGGAGTTAGAAAAAAGAAATATAAAAATTTCTAGCTATTGGAAAGTTTTAGAAAAATTGTCAGATGAAGAGTTAAATTATGAAGAATGGTATTCTATAGCATCGAAAATACAAGTAGATTTTTTTAAAAAAAATGAACTAGTTTATTTTAATTTTATAAAGGAAGATGATTTTTGGAAAATGGGATCAAGCAAATATACCCAATATATAATGAATCGTTTAAAAAAAAATAAATTATATATACATAGAATGGATTTAAAAAAATTAAAACATAATAATTTAACCTATAATGAATGGAAAAGCATATTATATGAAGCAAAAATAATAAGTAAAATAAAAAATGATGTAGATGTAATTCCATTAAATAGAGAGCATTATTATATCTCTCTTATATGGAAATTTTTTAACACAGAAGTAACCATAAATGGAAGTAATATAAAATTTGAAGATGCTTATACAAAATTAAAGACTTTTCATAAAAATGAATTAAAATATTTATCATCATTAAAAAGAGAAGATATATATAATCTATTTAATGCAATAATAATGCTACATCGAATAGTAGAATCAATTGATGAAGATAAATTCAATGAATATAAAAGTTACAGAATTACCAATATATTATTTGATGAGTTAACAAGGAAAGGAATTTATATATCTGGAGATTCACCAGTAACAAAGGAATATATTCAGTCTATATTTAATTATGAAATATGGAAAAAAGAGGTTAAAAATGTTAAAGTTAGTAATATGCTTATTAGATCATTAGTACCTACAAAATATTCTAGATACTTTGGTTCATCTCCAGTTTTTAAAATTCTTCGTTTTTTTGTAAAAACTAAGTTGAATAAAGGTTTAATAAATATTTTATCTCATATTTTATATAATATTTTTAAATTAGGTAAAACTAAGAGAGAAATTTTAAAAATAATTGCATCAGAAGGTGTTTTACGTGGTAGTGTAGATGTATTTAGACTTATTTTATTAAAACTTAACATTTCATTAGATGGATTAACAATGTGGTCTACTTTTGTTCTAACAACTATGCATAAAATAATGGAAGAATGTTTTCTTCAAGATTTAATAGAAAGCATAAATTACAGAAGAATGTTCTCAAATTTATTTTTTTTATTACATAGTTCTATTGAAGAATATTATTTCAAAGCAATATTAGATTCAATATTAGGATATCCTGCCGTTATGGAATTTATAAATGATAATGAAGAAAAATTTAAAAATATTCTTTTACATTTTAAAAATTTTTTTCTTTTAAACTTTGGAAGTTACGTAAATTTTTTTCAACACTTATATGATGGCATTGAAAGAAAATTTATAACTTACATAAAATATTACATTACAAAGTTTTTAAATGACGTTTTACCGTTTTCAACAGAAATTACTGAAAAAATAAAACAAATTGAAATGCAAAGAATTGATCTTCTTGAATTTATTTCTATTGTAGATGAAGAAAGCTCCATACACATATATGAAAATATTATAGCTCTTATACAACATGAGGATTTTATGTTAAAATTTAGGTTAAGTATTGAAAAGGTGCATTCACAATTTTTTCTTAATGAAAAAAAAGTAAGAATAACTAAAACGAAATTAATAGACAGCATGTATAATAGATGGGTACAAAGTATTTCTAAAAACAAAGTAAACACAACATTGAATTCAGGTTTTCATAAGCTAAAAAATAAAGTTCCTAATTTAAAATCTTCATTTTTAGAAAATCCATATTTAAAACGTCATAAGAAAAAACTCAATAATTCTTCACAAAAAGTTAAAAAAAATGATAATATGGAAAATTTTGAAAATATGGAATATCAAGGATATATGAATATTAATTACCCTAATGAAATGAATAAAAAAAATCAAAATTCGCTAGATATGTTGAGTCAAGAAAAATTAAACAAAGTAAACAAAAATTCAAATCTTATTAACTTAAAATTATATCCTATAATAGACTATGAGAATAAATCTTTAGATAATATAAATTTGGATAAAAAATTTTATAAAAAGAAAAATAACATACAAAATTCAGAAAACCACAATGATTATTTAAATTACAATAATGAAAATGGCAAATATTACTACGGAGTAAAAGGAGATAATGAAAAAACATATAACAATTTATCTTTCTTTCAAAATAACACAATGAACAAGTATAAAAGTTTTTATCTTATAGAATCATACAACTATAGAACATTAAGTTGTTTAGAAAAATTGTTCATATATGGTTTTGATAATAAAAATAATATTTCTGAAAATAAAATAAAAATTTGTAGTTATTATTATAGCCAATATTGGAGTAAAAAAGTACATAAAATATCCATAAAAAAATTAAGTGATCAAGAAAAATTCATATATGGTTACAGTCATAATTTATATCTAACATTGAAGGCAAAAAACACAAACTGTCAACTACATTTTAAAATTAATATTATAGTAGAAACTGAAAATAGTTCAAAACTTCGAGGACATAAAAAAATGATTGCAGATTTCAATATATTTAGAGAAAATAATGAACTGTGTTTTTTAATTATTAACAGTACAAAAGATATATATAAAAATAAAAATGACCTTTTATGCTTCCAAGCAGAACTTGTTCCATTCTATAAGAGCAATAATATTAATGATCACTTAAAAAAAGTATTTAGTGAAATTTATATTAATAGTTACAATAAAAAAAAGGGAAGTAATATATCTGCAAATGAAAAAAGTGATGATAACTATAATTCTAATGAACAATATCCATTTAATATCCTTGATAAAAATAAAACAAAAACACACTTCAAAGCTTTTAAAAAGGAAAAGAAAAATACGAAGCAAAAAAAGCCAAATAATTTTCATAGTACTAAGGAGAAAATAGATAAAGAAAATGAACAGAAAGAAGTTGGTAAAATTAAAGAAGATTATAATAATTCTATTAATATAAATTCAGCTGATTTGAAGGAATACAAAGGGAGAAGAAATAAAGAAAATTCATTAGGAACTAAATTAAGAAATGTTAAAGATCGTATAAAAGGGTTTATGAATAAAATAAAAAAAATTAGAAATAAAGAGAAAAAAGAAGATATTAAAAACAATAAATTAGAAAGATTGAAAGATGCTTTAAAATATTTAACAAAAAAAAATATTATAAATCAATTATTAGAATTTGAATATTATCATTCTAGTAAATGGAGTTCAAATATTTTTAGTGTTACTATTGAAAATATGAAAGGAAGAAATGAAAATATTAAACTATTATTAGAGCTTGGAGATTATAACTTAAAAACATATTTTGAAGTTGATATAAAAGATAACTATAATATTCAGTTATTACAACAATTAGATAATTTTATTAAAAAAAGCAATATGAAAGATTATATAACACAAAATTTAAAAAAATATAGAAAAATATATTTTATTTTGAAACATATATTTAATTTTGTAGAAGAAATTAAAAATGTTTCTTACTTGAAATCTAAAAAGTATGGCTCAAATGGAGTTAATGACTATGAAGAAGCAAAAAAAAGTGGAGAATCAGAGGATGAAGATGATGAAGAAGAATATAAAGAAAGTTATGAAAAAAATGAACAACACACATTACAAACATTACAAAATTTAGATAAAAATAAACAAAGAAAAAGGAAATCTAATATTGAAGAGCATTTAAAATTCACATGGTATAAGGCTGATAATAAAATGAGAAGTGAAGTTATTTTACCAGTTAGATCAATTAATCCGTTAAAATTAAAAGATGATAATAGTGAAATTTCATGTGAAATTAATTCAGATATTAAAAATATACTAAATTTTTTTAGAAATCCAAATGATAATATTGATATAAAAAAAAAAGTAAATACATATTTAAATAATTCTAATGATAAAGATAATGATACTAGTTCAGAATCATCAGACTTTAGTTCAAGCGAAGATGATATGTCTGATTTAGAAAGTCAATCTGAAACATATAACTATAAAGTAAACTTTTTTTCTGATTATACAAATTATTTCAATAAAATTTATCCATTAACTGAAGAGGAGAATTATATAATAAAAAGAAGAATGGATAAAACCTCTGTTTTACTTAATTATAGACTTATTTTATTAGCAGTTGTAATAATTAAAACTAATAATCTAAGTAACATAAAAAAATTAAGTGTTTTAACGAGAAATTTTTTAAAGGAAAATTACAAAAATTATAAAAATTTTGAATTTCATCAAAATGAATTATTTAATAAAAAATATATATATGTTGAAAATAAGCACTATTTAATAAAAAAAAAATTAGAATGTTTAATTGGTTTAGAGTTTTATAAAACTTTAAAAGCTTCTTTAAAAAAAAAGAACATTTTAAATAATTTTTTGGAGGATTTAAGTGTTCAAATTTCTCACATAAATAATTTTTTTTATAAGTATTATTACACTGATAATTCAAATATTCATTCTTCTCGCTTTTACTTGAATAAATTAAAAAATATTCGACATTTATGTCCAGTTATTTTTAAATTAAAAAGTAAAGAGAAAATAAATGTGAGAGATACATCTAAAATAGATAATTCTATAAAATTATCTTCAAAAAAAAGTGTAAAAAAAGAATTAGAATTATGTGAAAAAAATGTAGGTTTCTACGGGACTAATATGATGTTTTTTGATAAAACATTGGATAATTTTATAGGAAAAAAAAAGATTAAAAATATTGCAATGTTTTCTTATGAGTGTGAAAAATCTATTTTTGATGGAAAGAATTTGAGCGAATTGGATGATAACTATAACAATTTTTGTATTAATATATTCGAAAATAAACTTAATGAAAATGATGAAACATTTAAGCCAAATACAAGTTGGATAGATATGTTATATAACACTTTTTCATCAAAAAAGAATTATAACTATAAAGGAACTCATTATAGTGAAATAAGATGTTTTGCTTTTGCTGATAGAGATGAATTAAAGGAATATCAAAAGAAGAAAGATACAAAATGTAAAGTAACAATTTTAAATAAGTCTACAACTGTTTTACAACAATTTATAGATAAATATTACAAGATAAAAACGGAAGGAATTAATAATGGCAATGCATATGATGTTTATGCTTTGTATAAAAATATTTACACAGTCATATTATATAAATTAATGTTTGAAACAAAACTATTTAAACCTTTACGTATACAACAGAAATTAAATTCAGTCGGAATTAAGTATACTAAGTTATTAAATAATAAAGAAAATTCAACAAATTTTTATAAACATATGTTAGAAAAAACTAGCTCACTTTATCTAGAAATAGAACTTCTTTATAATGAACATGTTTTCCTAAGGAGTATTCCTTTTCCACATGAATCTGTTGATATTATGATATTTAATCATAAGCCTTTTGATAAAAATGCATTTGGTTATAAATTAACAGCAGATCCAGAACAAGTTATTAATGAAGGAGAAGAAAACACAAGAATTTATTCTTTTTTTGTTCTTAATTTATTGGGATTTTATCCTGACATACAAAAAGCACTTCTTCGAGCTTCAGAAAGCTCAGAATTAATTTATAAATTATTAAATATAAAATTAGATGATATAAAAAAAGAAACAAAAAAAACAAATACAGATGGTGGTAACAAAAATTCGGAAGATGAAGAAATGCCAAAGAGTATTGAACAGTTAATAGAAGATGATAATAAGGATATGAAAGAAGAAAAAAAAGGAAATACAGAAGTTAAAAATCCATTTAAAAAAATTTATAATTATTTATTTTCTAAAGGAAAAACAGTAAAGGAAGAGGTATTAGTAAATGCAAGTATGGAAACTAAACAACATAATAAAGAAAAAAGTAAAAAATACGAAATAAAAGATTTTAAGTGGATGGAAAGCGAACAAATATACGGCATTAAAAAGTTAATTATACAGCATGGATTAGTTGACTATTTTATAGAAGGAATAAAATTGATGAAATTAAAAAATTATTTAGAAGATGATAATTACTTGGAAGCTTATAAGTATGCACTTGAAGTAGAACTGAAGAAAGAAGATTTTTATCTTCACTTCATTAAAACAACGCCTTCTTTTAACTTTGAAGATTATAAAGTTGATCATTTATTATTGTTTGCTTTTTACTATGGTTTTGCTGATTTAATGCGAACTAGAAGGGAATACATAAATTTAGAGTCAAGCTTAAATAGAATAATTGAAAATAATAAGTCCATCTTTGTATACAGAACAAATTCATACAAAATTTTTGATTTAGAAGAAGATAAAAGAATATTATTAAATGAAGAACATGAACAAGTGGCAAAGTTCATCTATAATTGTGCTATTCAACATAGGTTTCTTCAAAGAGATAACCTTTCATTTAAGTTTAAAAGAGAACAAACTCAGGAATTAACAAATTTATTAAATAATAATAAAAAAAAAATTTATAACCAAAATGATATAAAAGAAATTATATCACTTACAGAAGTAGTAACAGAGAATTTTATTTTTACATTAAATAATTATCCTTCTAGTTTAAGTTTAAGCAAACATTCTTCATTTTATGAAAATTTCATTTCTAATGTAAAAGAATTTTTTTTCTCATTTAGGAAAGAAAATAATTTAATATATTTAATAAAAAAAAGAGATATTAATTTTAATATTTCAACCATTAAACTTTTAAGCGAAAAATCAACTTTCTTTAATTTAATAAAATCTATTTTAAAATTTGTCTTCTTAGCTGCTACAAGATCATATAACGTTGATTCAGCTATTGAAAAAGTTCTATATTTGAATGAAGAAAATAATGAAAATATTAATTCATATGCACAAAGAATAGAAGCTAATGGTACACAAATAAATAATGACATACAAAGTAATAGTTCAAAATCTTATGATAATGAAGAAAATACCAATAATGAATATGTTTTTTTAGAAAATCCTTTGCATAAATTTAAAAAAAAATTAAATAATCCTTTGAATAAAGGCAAAACACCATTAGAAAATATCAAAAATAAGAGTAAATTATTTCTACTAATTAATTGTAAGGTTTTTAATTCTACTGGAGATTGTAATGAATACTATTCAAGTAAAGGAAATGCATATACTGTTAAAGAAAAGAACAACGAAAATAATAAAAAAAAAAAGAAATTTTTATCATCATTATATTATAAATTAAATAGTATTAAGGAAAGCTTAAAAATAAAAAAAAAAAAAAAAAAAAAATTATTTTATAATGAATCAAGTTTTGTATTGAACAATCAACTGTATAATCCATTACGGGAACAAAAAGAAGAAGAAAAAAATATGAAAAATAAGATTAACGAAAAAAAAAATAATATTGGAGAAAATGTAACTAAAATAGGAGAACATTCAGAAGGAAAAATGGAAGGAAATGAAAAAAAAAATATGTTTGATAGTGAAATAGAACTCTTACTTCTAGATAGGGCGAAGGAAAAAGGTATTTTCAATAGTGGTACATCAGGTAATGGAAATATGTATACTAGTATGGATATATACATGCAAAGAAACATATACAATAATGAATCAAATGAAAAAGATTTAGGTATTAAAAGGATAGACACAAATAGGTTATCATCACATTTGAATAAATCCGAATCAGGATATGACTTTATTGAATTGGAGAGAAAAGGTCCTTTGAAACTTAATAGAGTTAAAAATTTTTTAGGTAGAAGAATTAGCAATTTATATAGTAAAGTAAAAAGTAAAGCTTTTTCAATGACATTAATTCATGGTCTTGATTTTATTCTAAGAAATAGTCTTCGTTTTTATAAAAGTAAACTTATTTTAAAATATATTACATATTATGCTAAAATGTATGTAATACAATCCTTAGATATGATATTTCTAATTGTTAGAGATTATGAATTGGGAGCTTCCTTAACAAATACCAATTCTATAAAACATGGTTTATTTAATATATGTTTATTTAATTTGCAAAATATTTCTGTATCTTTAAAAAATATATTAAATATTATTGATGCAGAACAAATTGAAAATATATTGTCTTATTTAATTTCCATTATCCACATGAATTATACAGGAAACCCTCGTTTTATTGAAGATCTTATTAAAAATATTAATTACGCATTATCAAAAAATGCAACTTTAAAAAAATTATTTGGAAATTTTGTGTCTTATCTTACAATTTCCTCTATACAAACATTTGAATTATATTTTCATTCAAGATATAAAAAAAAATTATTAACATTTATTATTTCTATATTAAATAATTTATCAGGAACTATTTCAAGTGTGTTTAGTGAGCCATTTTTTCAATCCTACATTTGTACTCATTTAATAAAGTTAGGAGAATCCTTTATAAGTGAATTTAATCCAGAAAACACTGTATATGGATTCTTCATGGATGTTGCAGAGATTAACTTTTTTGATATTTTTATTTCATATATATTTTATTATTTTCCACAAGTTGTGAAAGATTTTATAGAAATATAATTTTTTACAAAATAAAAAAAAAAAAAATAAAATAAAAAATAAAAAATTAAAATAATTAACAAGTTCAATACTTAAGAAATTTTTAAAATAAATTATATAATAAAGATAACAATATTTTTTCTTCATTTTTTAGAAATTAAAAAATTTTATTTAAACTTATTTTAAGTATATATACATTTTTAAAGTTTTTTAGTTTGTCATATAGCAAAAAAAAAAAAAAAAAAAAAAAAAAAGAAAAAAAAAAAAATTTACATAAAATGGCATCTTCTTAAGCAATTTTTTTTTTTTTTTTTTTTCTTATATGATTTTAAAAATTGTAATTGTCTTTTATTTATTGCACCTTTTCTTCTTTCACGTATAAATACAATTGCATCTATAGGATCCATACCAAATTCAATCAAAACAATGGAAGCTAAAACTGGTGCTCTACCTAACCCCGCTACACAATGAACAGCAACAGCACAATTGTTTTTTATTACATTATTAACAACTGTTAACCAGTTATTTACTATATCATCAGTTGGTGCATCTCCATCTGGAAATATTAATTCATGAACATTGATTCCAGCTCTTTCAATTTCTCTGTCATTATATGTTTTTTCACATGTTCGAACTAAATCAGTTACATTGTAATTTTTCATTTCTTTTATGTATAATGGTAATAGATCATTTGTAGGAGCATCTAAAATTAAAATTTTTATTTTTCCATGTTCTATTTTGGTAGGGTGATTTAATACCGGGTTCAAGTAATCCATATCATAATTAGCGTTCCCCATATATCTTTCCATGTCGAATAATTTTACATCTATGCAATTGAAAAGTTGATCACTGTTATCTCGTTTATTACAATAATCGTGGCTCTTAAATAATTTATAATCAATTGGATTCTGCATTTTTTTCTGTTTAATTTTTATTCTATATTTTTTTTTTTTTTTTCCTTTTTTTCTATATATAAAAATATAATTTCATTAAATTAGCAAAAATTTATTCTTCAAATACTATAGACTATTTATTTCTATTAATATAATATGGGATTAGTTTAATAGCAGTGATATGATGATTATAAAAAAATAAAATCAAAAAACATTATATATGCAAATATTATTTTTGCATATAAATTTGTAAAATAAAAATTATTAATTAAAAGCTTTATAATTATTTTACTTTTTCTATATTATAAACAAAAATAAAGGTTATCTGCAAATTTTTTCTTTTTTTTTGTTCTATTTTCTTTTTGTTTTAAAGGATATGTTATATAAACAAATATATATGATATGAATATTAGCACTACTTTTTATAAATAATACATATATATACAATTAAATATTATATTTATCTATATACTAAATTTAGAATATTTTCATTTTAAATTATTTTAGTGTGTTCACCTTTTCTATTTTGTAATATATTAAAGATAATTAAAACAAATCTAAAATATAAATATAATGGGGAATTTGTAGAATGGATCAACATAACTATTTTTACATATATATATATATATATATTAAATAATTAAATAGATATTATTATTAAAAATAAGTAATTGTATTTACGATCATAAAAATTATAAAAATAAAAATTACATGACAAAAAATATATGCATAAATATATAATGTATTCTAATTAAATAGATAATCTTTTTTTATAAAAATTATGAAAAATGATAAAATTTCAAAAATTATTATCACAACTACTTTTTAACTTGTAAGTATATTATATATATATATGTAAAAATTTCCTAAAATTTTTAAAAAATAATAAATCAATGTAATATAAATTATACATCAATATAAATAGACATGTATAAAATAAAAAGAAAATATGTAATAAAAATAATTATATATTATAAAATGATTAAACAAAGCAAAATTTTAAATTTATATATATATATACAAAAATATATATAAATATATTTTTAAAATGTATGTATTTATAAATTTACTACTCATAAAAAGCAGTGCGTTTTTACACGCGCACTGCAATGAAAATTAGTTCACATTGCGTCAAATAAAAAAGTTTTTATTTTTATAAAACCCTCATTTAATATAATACATGAAATGTAATTAGATTATATTAAAACCATAAATATTTGTTAATTATTATAATTCTAATAATTTAAAAAAATAAATTCGTTTATATTTAAGCCACCAAATATACTAATTAATAATAATGAGAAGGAAGGTCATATATTTTACTAAAAAATAATTATATAATACTATCAAAATATAAATTTAAATAGTTACTTGTGCTTTGTATTTTCTATGTATGTTTTATTCTTTTAGTTTATATTATTATATTTTTCATATTTATTATACTGTAATTTTTTGATCCATAAATTATGTGAAATATTATATTATTCAGTATTATTCTACATAAACGTATATATATATATATATATATATATACATAAAACTTCTTTTATTGAATGTATATCTTGTAATTATTATTATTATTATTAATATATATATAATAGTATATATGCGATAATTTATATCAAAAATTCTATATATTCTAGAAATATATTTTATTTTTTTTTTATTTTTTTAGTTTTTTATTATTTTTTTTTTTAAATATATTTAATTTGTTTCCATTAATATTTTGATATATTTTTGCTTACACTTTGAAATTATCATAAATGCATATTATTCCTAAAAATTAGTTTATCTAAAAATGTGCATTTTTTTTTTTTTTTTTTTTTTTTTTGGTCCACATATAAATTTAAAAAAAATTTTAATTTTTTTTCTGTTTTATCATTTAAATGTTTATACGTTTAATTATTTATTCATTTATACATATATATATGTATATATATATATAAATGCATTTTCTTATTTGTTTGTTCACTTATGCATATGTTTATTTATATATTTGTTATTTCAATCCTTTACTCTTTTGTTGAATTATAATGCATAAATTTAAATAAATTTTTCACACAAAATATATTTTTATTCCCTGTGATAATTTTTCGGCTCAAATTTATTTGATGTTTTAGGTTTCTTTTTATTTATATATATAAATTTTTAATTTATCTTTACTTTGTAACATATTTTATATTCTCTAAAAGTACAAAAAGAGAAATGTCTATAGTTAGTACCACGTAAATGAAAAAAAATGGTTTTTTATTAAAAGTTTATCCCACATAAGTTTTCTTCTTATTTTAAGAAACAAAAATAAAATTTTCCTTCTATAAAATATCTTTAATATTCCTTATTTCCATTTAATTTATTCATCAAAAAATCTTAAGCAACAAAAATTTAAGTCTTCAGAAAAAATGAATATTATCTTATTATGCATATTAGGTAATAAATAAAAAAATTCTTTTTTTAATTATTATATATTTTTTTGTATTTTATTAAATATGATTATGAAAATACATATAAATGTATTATGCATATATATATATATATATTTAAAGAAATATTTTTTTTTTTAAATTTTGTTCATTCGTTATTATTTTATGTTTCTTGATTGTGTTTCATAACATATAATATTGTTTTTTTTTTTTTTTTTTTTTTCTTCTAATATTACAAAAATAAATTTACTTTGAGGTTAAAAATATATTAAAATGTTCTAATATAATAAGGAATATAAAATGATTCTTTATATATTTTATAATTTAATGAAAAAATATTTAATATATAAAAAAATTGTTTATAAAAAAAAAAGATTTTTATTCCACAACAAACCTCAATTTTTATTTTTTAAATTTTAAATTAACGAACTTATTTAAACGTTCTCTTTTTTTTTTTTTTTTAATAAATGAATCAAATATTTAACTAACAAATTTTTTTTTTTTTTTATAAGAATATAACAAAAATATTTATTTTTCTCTTTATTTTGAATTTATAAAAAAAAACTTATCAAAAAATAAAAATTTTAAAATATGTAGTGAGTATATATTTTTTTTTTTTTTTTTTTTTTTTTTTTTTTTTTTT